TTTCCCTTCCAACTCGCAGGATGGACTTGGTGGCCCTGGGAGCTCTGATTGTGAGCCCAAGGGTAACACCAAGGGAAGGCAAGCACAAGGGATTCTGGAAGGAAAGGGCTCAAGCGCTCCCTGGCCTTCCTGTCTAGACAGCAAAGTTTCCTAGAGCTTCATCAGGGCCTGCTCTCTCCCATCTCACACTTCAGGGTGGCCAAAAGTGCTTGCCTTCTCGAGCCTGCCACTCACCCATTCTCCCAGTGGGAACTGAGGTGATGCTGGGGAGACCAAAGGTGTGATACCCCAACTCCAGCCCCCATGAACCACAACTAAATACCCATCCCCGAATTAAACCCAGTTATGGGCAGAGGAGGCAAGAAGTTTAAGTAAGGACTGGCTTTGGACGTCCTGTGTGTCCCTACAGCTAAGGATGGCAGGACCCCTCTCAAAACCAACGGCTGGTTCCCCATCCTTCTCCTGGAGGTGATAATGTGGCCATCTGGCTTTGCCAAGAAGAGGACCCTAAATCCTAGTACCCACCACCCCAGACTCACCCAGTGGCATCTCACATGCAGTCCCCCCCAACACCCCCCGCCTGGCCTGGGGAGGAGGAAGGGACTAGGAGTCCCTCCTGGGGCAGAAGGAGGATACCGTGGAGACGGGCCAGCAGGTGACACGTGGGCTTCATGAGAGGTTGGCCACAGCGACTGGTCTCTCTGTCTCATTTGCTTCTAGAAGGACCAGGGTCATCTTTGTGTTGGGGGAAGGTGATGAGGCAGGGACACTATGGCAGAGGAGCCTAAGGATCACCCAGGACAAAGAGCCCTTGGCCTTGGGTTTCTTCTTTCTTTGCTCTCCTTTTTCCCCTTGTGTTTGCCCACCTCCCTTTCCACCTGTACCCTCTCTACTGCAGACAAGGAAAAGGGGAAGAAGGGAGGGGAATCATATTTATAAAAGAAACCCTGCTCCTGCTTGTTAGGCACTTTCAGCATGGTTCGTGTTTCTAGGGAGCTTCCTGTGTGCCAGGTCCCGGGCCAGGAACTTTACTGGGATTATCTCACTAGTGTTACAACAAGACTAAGAGTTGAGGAGTGTTCTCATCATCTCTGTCTTAGGGATGAGGAAACGGAAACTTAAAGAAGTAACCTGTTCAAAGTCAGAAAAGCAGTTTGGGGGAAGAGCTTAGGTCTTGAACCCAGGCCCGTCTGATCCAGAGCCACCGTGTTCTAGACTGTACAACCACTGTATGACAGGGGTACCTCAGTTCCAGTTCAGAAAGAAGAGACAGGTTTGTTCAGGAGTCTCTTACTCCAGGTTGCCTGCCTTGTCAGGAGCAGAGACAGGACATCAACCAAGCCTCTCTGATTCCCAGGCTACCCACTCACCCAGTGTCCCAAGCCAGGTGACAGGAACGGATGGGCACGCTAATTTTTATTTCCTCATTTTCAGTTCAAAATTGATTTATTATTATTTTAAAAGCAATTCAAAGTTATTACTGAAATATTAGAAAATATAGATAAGCCACAGGAAAAAAATAAAAATACCCACAATTCCACCTATCTAGAAACTGTTACACTTTGGTATCTGTCTTTCCAGATCTTTTTATATTTTTATTTCTTTATGATTTTTTGTCTTCCACATCTTTTTATTTATTTATTTATTTATTTAAAGATTTTATTTATTTATTTGAGAGAGAGCACATGAGAGGGGGGAG